AAGAAATATTAAAATACCAAATATCGGGAGGTACCCCTATATGGGGACTCTACGAAGACGTGGACCTGCACAGAACATTTTCTGTCTTAGGATGTAGTATCCATTACGAACTTCAAATACCAAATTTGAAGCAATTCCGGTTAATAATGTCGCTAAAATCATCAAAATATCGAATATCGGGAGGTGCCGTTATATTGGGGCTATATCTAAACGTGGACCTTCATATCCCATTTTCAATACCAAAAGTCCTGAAGACATAACATAGATTTGAGTAAAATTTTGTCAATCTACTTCAATTCGTTCGGAAGCAAGAGTGATTTCCGCAGACGGATAGACGGACGGACATCGCTAAATTGACACAGAATTTTATGCTGATCAAGAATATATATACGGAATGACAAGCTTAATATACCCTCCATATTATTGTGGAGGGTATAAAAATGAACTCGGGGTTAAGGCCATTGAAATTCCAAAAAGTGCAAGAACTTACACCGCAACAGAAAGAAAATAGACTCAAAGGAGCTAAAGAGTTGCTTCGCTTGGCCGAAAGTGGAGAACTGCCGAATTTGGTTGTCTCCGGTGAGAAAATATTCGTTGTCCAGCAGTTTTTAAACACACAAAATGATCGTGTTTACTTGCCAAAGAGGTCACCTGAAAATGTGCACCTTCGGTTGGCCACCAGAACTCAAGAGCTGGCCATGGTGATGTTGTGGGCCGCCATAACAGCCGATGGTCGCTCTCCGCTCGTATTAATCGAACGTGGCATCAGAAAAAATGCCAAATATTGTAGCGAAAATATTCTGGAGGGTGTATTAAAGCCTTGGGCACCCAAACATTTTGGACACCCAGACCTTGGACATTTCAACAGGACTCAACACCATAGCACTCAGCAAGCGCCACCCAAGAATGGTTACAATATGAGGTTCCTGGCTTCATTTCCAGCACACAATGGCCCCAAAATCTCCGGATACTAATCCCTTGGACTATTGTGTCTGGAGTATTTTGAAAAGCAAGGTTGGCACCAGGAAATACCAAAGTGTCGATCACCTCAGGCAAGCGCTTCGCCGGGAATGGACCAAAATACCGCAGAGCAATATTCGGGCAGCGTGTGACGGTTTCATTTGCCGTTTGAAGGCCATAATTCGTGCAAAAGGTGATCAATTCGAACAAATCTAAACTTATTCTAAATTTTGATGCTATTTCCGACATTTTTTTGATTTCATTCAATAAAATTTGAAAAAAAAAAAAAATAAAATTATGGCGTTTGACTTTGTTGCAGTATTTTATCTCACCCTGTATGTATGTATATAATAATAAAATTGCCACAACTACTGCATGAAGCTGAAAATTGCTGGCAACATATTTAACCGCTCACTCACAACCATTGGAGGGGTCTGGTTTTCATCTTCTTCTTCACTTCTTTTTTTTTCTTCATCGTTTTTCCATTTCGTGGTGTTGAAAATTCAAGATTAATGTTCTGTATTGCTACTTCTGTCATCATCCTTGCCCTCTGCTTCCCCCATAACTTCTTCATATCCCCCCTCTCCCTCTCTCTCACTCTCTTGGCCATTTAATTCCTTGATTGTGGCGGGTTTTCTTTTCAACAAAAAAAAGTTAATTAAAATAATTCAACTGAATTTAATATTTAATACAAATAACAATAACAACAGCAACAACAACGCCAACAAACAATAACATTCAACAAGTCGCAATAATAATAACACACCTCAAAACAATATAAATTACAACAACTATGAGTACACTTGCTGTTGTTATTGTTGGCTACAACAACGCCGGCTGGTTAGTATGACTGCGGCTGCAGTCATTCCAAAACTCTTCACATAAATCAAGAGATTTGCCATGGATACATTTTGAATACCTGTTGCCGGTAGAGGTTGTTGTTGTTGTTGTGGTTTGGCCCCTGCACGCGTTTTAGGCACACGACTCAACTCTGCTATCTTTGTTGTTCGTCCGTCTGTTTCACTGACTGGCGGACTGGTTGAGGTTGAAGAAAAAAAATGTAAACTCAACAACTCAGCAATGAAAAACTACTTGAAACTCTGCAAAGTCTGTTGAACTTGCGTAAATTATAAAATAAATACATCTCGAAGACAGACTACCATTGAAGTCGATCCAGGTTGTCCATATACGTGGAAGGGATGTGAAATGGGAGTGACAATGCTCAGAGGCAATTAAATTGATGCATACTGGAGGCACTTACTTTAAACGCCCTAATTAATAACACATTTCAAGAGGGCAGATGGAGAATTTCATCATTATTATAGTCATTTATAAGAAAATAAATTAGTATCCATTTAGCTTTGAGGATATAATTCGCATTCACTTTATAGTACAACCTTAATATAGAATTCAACTGTTATGCTATGGAGGGTATGTTGACGATATCATTGCGATTGTAACTCCACGATATAATCATGCTAGCCCCTACAATGTAAATACAGGGTGATTTTTTAAGAGCTATAGAAAAGTTTAAAAAATCACAAAAATTAAAAATAAATACCGAACATAGCCGTTATATGGGCATTGTGTGTCATAAGTCATTACCATATTCAAATTCGAAAATTGAAATAAACGGTGAATAACGTAGCTAAAATAATAAATTAAAATATCGTATATAGGGAGGTAGCGTTATATCGGAGCTGTGCGAAGACCTGAACCAGCATAGACAATTTTCTGCCATATTCTGTAGCATACATTACGAACTTTAAATTCGCGTCTCAAACAATTTCGCTGGATGTTGTACTTAAACTCGTCAAAATACCGAATATAGGGAGGTACTGGTATGTGGGGCCTATGCGAAGACCCGGACCTGTATAGACAATTATCTGTAACAGACTGTAGATTCCGTTACGAACTTCAAATACCAAATTTTAAACGATTCCGGTTAATAATGTCGCTAAAATCATCAAAATACCGAATATCGGGAGGTACCGCTATATGGGGGCTATACGAAGACATGGACCTACATGGCTCATTTTCTGTCTTAGGATGTAGTATCCATTATGAACTTCTAATACCAAAATTGAAGCAATTCTGGTAAATAATGTCGCTAAAATCATCAAAATACCGAATATCGGGAGGTACTGTTATATGGGGGCTATACGAAGACGTGGACCTACATGGCCCATTTTCAATACCAAAAATCCTGCAGACATAATACACATTTGAGTAAGATTTTAGCAACCTACTTCATTTCGTTCGGAAGCTAGAGTGATTTCCACCGACGGACGGACATTGATAAATCGACATAGAATTTTATGCTGATCAAGAAAACTTTGTGGGGTCTAAAATGTATATTTCGAGGTGTAACAAACGGAATGACAAACTTAATATACCCTCCATACTATGGTTGAGGGTATAATTAATATCAGTCGGTATTGCCGACAGTTGCATACCCTCAGCCAATGTTCGGTTATTTAAATATATTTTGACTTGTGTTATGATTATTCAAACTGTTGACCCTTCATAGTAGAAGTTCCGAAGGTGTTGGCCAATATTTTTCATTTCGTATCTGACGTAAGTCTGACAAAGAAATAATAAAACGTATCAGAATTGGATTTTATTTCGACTACCTGCTTCACTTTAAATTAAATATTTCATTATATTTCGAAAAGTTCGTGTTTAATGAGAATTTAATTATTTAAAATTTTGACCCGTTGTTTGGGAGGTACCAGAAGGAGTAGTCGGATATTGTCCATCGTCACAACACATCTTGTGTTGATAAAAGTATTGGGATGTGCCGAGTTTGAAAGTAGTCGGATGCTCATTTCGCCTTTTATGTGCGTAATGGTTATTTCAAATTTTGACCCTTTGTGGGGGAGGTATTAGAAGGAGTGGTCCGTTTAATCCGTTCTCCTTACCAGGCCTTGTGTTAGTAGAAATATTGAAATGTACAACATTTGAAGATAATCAGACTCTTAGTTAAAATTTATATAAACGTTATAATTATTAAAAATTTTTACCCTTTTAAGGGGGAGGTACCACAAGGTGTGATCCGATACTTACCATCTTCACACCAGATCTTGCTTAAGTAGAAGTATTGGAATGTATGACATTTCAAATAATCAGATGCTCATTTCGCGTTTTACGAGCTTCATGGTTATTTAAAATTTTTACCCTTCGTGAGAGAGGTACCAGAGGAAGTGTTCCGATATATTCCATCTTCACACCATACCATGGGTTATTAATAAATATTGTGATATGTTTAATGTGAGGGCAATCGGACTCCTAAATACATCTCATAAGAGTTATAATTATTCAAAATTTTGACCCTTTGTGGGGGAGGCACCTGATTGAGTGGACCGACATTGTCCATTTTCACACCTAGCACCGACGTAAATATTAGGATTTACAAAGTTGGAGAAAAATCGGATTATCCTATCTCTTTCTGTGCAATAAAATATTTATTTGAGAATTTCGAACTTTGGGAGGTACCGGAAGAAGTGGACTGATATTGGCGATCTCCGAGCTCGATCTAAGTATGATAACAATATTACGATGTACCAAGCTTGGGCCAAATCGGATACTCCCTTCGAGAGTAATAGTTCGCACTAGCCAGACAGACGGGCCGACATCGCTAGATCGACTTCAAATGTCCTGAGAAGGATTTGGTTTAAAGATACCTAGGGTCTAAAACCGTTATTTCAATGAGTCACGTTTCGGCCATATCAAATGATATATACCCTGTTTAGCGGTATGGATGAGGGTATAAAAATCTTACACTCTTAGTGTAAGGAGTTCAGATAGGGCGGGTTTTCCAGAAATTCGGTCATCAAGAATAAGAAAGGTACTATATTGTTACCAAGCAATAGCAGATTTTCTTTTTTTAAATTTTGAATGAGGGTCGTTCTTGGCGAGGAGAGAAGAGAAAAAACGAAAAGATGCATCTTGGCCAAATTTCACGCCTTTTATATTTTTTCATTCCCACAAAACTTTCCCATAATTTTATTTTAATTTAAACTCTCTCCTTTTATTTTCAGATTCCAACAAACTACAACTTCAACCGAACATACCTCCCCAAAACGATGGAGCGGCTCTATAAATCGCATTGAAAAGTAACTTACAACCTGTTATCGGTGTTAAGTCGAATTTAAACTGAGCTTAACCCAAACAATAACAAATCGATAGCGGTAAGTTGCATAGCTAAAGCGGCCAACTATCATGCCAAGCATGACAAAACTTTAATTCGTTGAGAAAAAATAAGAAGTGTTTCAAATTAACCTTAATAACGAAAACAAAGTTAACGAATTAATCGCGCCTAAGATGAAGATGACGACGACAGCGATGACGGGGCGTTTTAATCAAAATAAGTGTTGATGAAGGTGGAAATTGGTGGAAGAAAAAAAATAATTGAATAAATATTTGAAAATTTCTGAGAAAAATATAAAATAGTCTAGTCGAATTGGACATTTGGCGTGCACAAAATCCTGCTCAGGGTTGATTTTTTTTTAAATTAAAAAAAAAATAAAAATTGTATGAGAAAATTAAAAAATTCCACGTTTTCGGAGGATAACAAATATTTTTGAAAAATACACTTCCCCGTTGCTCGAGGAAAAATATTTTGAGGAAAAAAAAATTATTTGAGAATTACTCATGACTGTTGGTCAAAAAAAAATATATATTTTTTTTTAAATTCGGTAGATCCTTGAAAAAATATTTTTAACAAATCCATGTCCTTGAAAATTATTTTTAAAAGAATCCACGCCTCTGTAGATCCTTAAAGAAATATATATTTTTTTTAAATTCGGTAGATCATTGAAAAAATATTTTTAAAAAATCCACGTCCTTGAATAATATTTTTAAAAAATCCACGTCCTTGAAAAATATTTTTAAAAGAATCCACGCCTCTGTAGATCCTTGACAAAATATTTTTAAAAAATCCACGTCCTTGAATAATATTTTTAAAAAATCCACGTCCTTGAAAAATATTTTTAAAAGAATCCACGCCTCTGTAGATCCTTGACAAAATATTTTTAAAAAATCCACGTCCTTGAATAATATTTTTAAAAAATCCACGTCCTTGAATAATATTTTTAAAAAATCCACGTCCTTGAATAATATTTTTAAAAAATCCACGTCCTTGAATAATATTTTTAAAAAATCCACGTCCTTGAAAAATATTTTTAAAAGAATCCACGCCTCTGTAGATCCTTGACAAAATATTTTTAAAAAATCCACGTCCTTGAATAATATTTTTAAAAAATCCACGTCCTTGAATAATATTTTTAAAAAATCCACGTCCTTGAATAATATTTTTAAAAAATCCACGTCCTTGAATAATATTTTTAAAAAATCCACGTCCTTGAATAATATTTTTAAAAAATCCACGTCCTTGAAAAATATTTTTAAAAGAATCCACGCCTCTGTAGATCCTTGACAAAATATTTTTAAAAAATCTACGTCCTTGAACAATATTTTTAAAAAATCCACGTCCTTGAAAAATATTTTTAAAAAATCCACGTCCTTGAAAAATATTTTTAAAAAATCCACGTCCTTGAAAAATATTTTTAAAAAATCCACGTCCTTGAAAAATATTTTTAAAAAATCCACGTCCTTGAAAATTATTTTTAAAAAATCCACGTCCTTGAAAAATATTTTAAAAAAAATCCTCGTCCTAGAAAAATATTTTTAAAAGAATCCACGTCCTTGAAAATTATTTTTAAAAAATCCACGTCCTTGAAAATTATTTTTAAAAAATCCACGTCCTTGAAAAATATTTTAAAAAAAATCCTCCTCCTAGAAAAATATTTTTAAAAGAATCCACGTCCTTGAAAATTATTTTTAAAAAATCCACGTCCTTGAAAAATGTTTTTAAAAAATCCACGTCATTGAAAAATATTTTTAAAAGAATCCACGTCTCCGTAGATCTTTGAAAAAATATTTTTAAAAAATCCACGTCTCCGTAGATCCTTGAAAAAATATTTTTAAAAAATCCAAGTCACCGTAGATCCTTGAAAAAATATTTTTAAATATCCACGTCTCTGCTGATCCTTAAAAAAATATTTTTAAATATCCACGTCTCTGCTGATCCTTGAAAAAATATTTTTAAAAAAATCCACGTCTCTGTTTATCCTTGAAAAGAATATTTTTAAAAAATCCACGTCTCTGTAGATCCTTAAAAAAATATTTTTAAAAAATCCACGTCTCTGTAGATCCTTAAAAAATATTTTTAAAAAATCCACGACTGATCCTTGACAAAAATATTTTTAAAAAATCCACGTTTCTGCTGATCCTTGAAAAAAATATTTTTAAAAAATCCACGTCTCTGTTGGTTGAGGAAAAAATATTTTTAAAAAATTTACGTCTCTGTGCGGAAAAATATTATAGATATATAAAATAAAAACTACCATCTAAATTTGTGGCGAAAGCATATTTTTTAAAACAGCCCTCGTCTCTGTTGTTGATGGAGAAATTATTTTTAAAAAATTCACGTCTCTAAAAATTAATAGCCCATTTTCACGTGCAGTGACTTTTGGACTATATGACCTATAATAATTACACCTAAACTCATACCCATTAAAAAAAAAATTAAAATTTACTCAGCAACCACATTGAAGTAAATCAAAATCTAATTAAAAATATTCCAAAAAGTTTATCAAAGTAACACAAAAATAAACTACGAATAAGGAACAGAAAATGTAAAATAAAATTGGCAAAATTGTTGTTCTTTCCGTTGTTGAGTGAACATAGTTTTTTCGCTGGTGTTTCCTCAAGTGTTCAAGAATTTATTACAAAATTAAAATTTATATGAACCGTACCACAAATGGACCAAGCTACCAACCAACCAACCAGCCAATGGTACCCACCAATGATCATCAGCTAAACGCCAACATGCAGCACTACATCAATGTCGGTACGTGTTTATTTTTTCTCTCTCCTTTATCTCCTCTCTTCATCCTCCTCTGTTTTTCGTTGTGATGAAAAATATTTGAAAAATTTTCATTGGCAATGGGAAAAACGGTGAAAATCCACGGAAAAATAAAATAACAATAATTTGTTTGTGCACTTTTTTTGGAAAAATTAATTAAATTATTTTCATTTGTATTAAATTACAGACGCCAATTTGACGTTCGCCACAAAAATAACAAAAAACAAAAAAAAAACATAAAAGCAAAATTTGTGGTTAATTAGAAATTTTTGCCTACCGTGCGTCATCCTCCACTCACATATTTTCGTGACTATTAGCATTTCGGACTTTTCTCAAGAGGAAAATGAAGTGTTCTGGGGAATTGGTGGAAAATCAAGAGGCCATTAAGTAACACATCAGTTGTTTAAGTGCCGTAGGCGAATTTATGGTTGAGGGCGGATTGGCCCGGATAATTAACGTAAGTTAATAAATACCTACCTTTATTGACCGTTCAATTATTAAATTATATTGAGAGTTTTTTTTGATGTGGAGAACACTTTTTGAACAGGAGGTCTAAGCTCCACCGGACCAATTTTTTTATGCCCTGCTCCATATGCACCGATTCAAAATAAATTTTACAAAGTATGTCTGTCTTTCTAACCCACATAAGTACTAAAATAATAGTGAAATATTTATAAATTAGAAAAAATGGTTCAGAATCAAAAAAGGACCTTAAAAATACCTAAAGTGTTGGAAGAATTAAAAAAAAAACAATTTAAAAATATCAGTGATTTCGCCGACAGATGTATACCCTCAGCCAATGTTCGATTATTTAAATATGTTTTGACTTCTTTTATGATTATTCAAATTGTTGAGCCTCTAAGAAGTAGGTTTCGAAGAAATGGGCCAATATTATCCATTTTGTATCGGACCTAAATAATGTGATATAAATATTGTGGCATGACAGGTTTATATGAGATATGTGCAATTTTTTTAAAAATTTGGAAAGATGCGTGAGGTAGCAGATATAGCGGACCGAAGTATTCCATTTTCATATTTCATCTAATATAGATAAAAAATAATGGAATGGTCAAAATTACAAGAAAATCGAACATTTATATCCAATTTCATGCGAAACCATAACTTCCATATTCATCGCAGATTTCTGGTAAAGGGAAATATTTAGATACAGCAAGTTGTGAAAAACCGCTGGCCTGTTTCGCAAGTTATGACGCAATTGTGAGTATAGGTAAGAGGGGGTTCGCAGACATATATCATCTTTACAACAGATCTTGTGTTAGTAGATATTAGGATGTGTGAAATATGAAGAGAATGGAATGCTTATTTCGGATTTTGTCATTGTTTTGGTTATTCAAAACTTTGACCCTTTGTGGTGGAGGTACCAGAAGAAATGATACGATCTCTACCATCTTCAAAATCTGCAATGGAATCGGATGTGAACTTCATGAATGTTCAAAATTTTGAGCCTTTGTGGGGGAGGTACCAGAAGAAAAGGGCCGATATATCCCATCTTCAAAGCAGATCTTGTGGTAGTAGAAATAATGGAATGTGTGAAATATAAAGAGAACCGATAGTTTTTTTCGGATTTTATGATTGTTTTGGTTATTTAAATCTTTGACCCTTGTGGGGAAGGTACCAGAAGGAATGGTCAGATCTATACCATCGTTACAACTTATCTTGTGTTAAGTGAAATATTGGGATGTGCCGATTTTAAATTGTTAAATTTGATGTTAATTTTGGGCTTATGAGCTTCATCGATATTCAAAATTTTGGCCCTTTGTGGGGGAGATACCAAAAGGAGTGGACTGATATTTCCCATCTTGGCAACAGATATTGCGATATTAAAAATATTGTGATGTGTGATATTTTTAAGACAATTGGACCCTTATGTCACATTTTGTCAGAGTTCTAATTACTCAAAATGTTGACCCTTTGTGGCAGAGGTACTTGATGGAGATTGAGCACTTGACCTAGCAATGATGCAAATATTAGGATTTCCAAAGTTGGAGAAAAATCGGATTGTGCTTTCACTTTTTGTGCAGTAAAATATTTTTTTTTTTTTTGCAAATTTCGACTTTTGTGGTGGAGGTACCAGATGGACCGATGTTGCCCGTCTCGAAACTAGATCTAAGTTTAATAATAATATTACGATGTACCAAGTTTGGACAAAAATCTCCCTTCGAGAGTTATCGTGCGCACCAGCCAGCCAGACAGACAGACGGATGGACACCTCTACATCGACAATTCCATATATATATACAGAGACCTTGATATTAAATTTGGGGATCCCAGCTCTGCCCATTCACCCTTCTGTAATCTAAATATCAAATTTAAAATTTTTATTTCCATCCCTTGACGCTTGAGTTCTGGTTGCCAACCGAAGGTGCACATTTTCATCTGACCTCTTTGGCAAGTAAACACGATCTTTTTTTTTTGTTTACAAACTTCTGGACAACGAATGTTTTCTCATCGGAGAAAACAAAATTCGGCAGTTCACCACTTTCGATCAAGCACAGCAACTCTTTAGCTCTTTTGAGTCTATTTTCTTTCTGTAGGGGTGTAAGTTCTTGCTCTTTTTGGAATTTCAGTGGCTTTACGCCGAACTCATTTTTTCAATATTGAACTCATTTGAATATTGCGATATGTTCAGCTCACGGTCACTGCGATGCGGGTTTCAATCAAGTCGCTTCTTTATTTTTCGAACCATTTTTGCTGATGTTGCTTTTTCATTCCATGATGTCAGGCTACGCTACCAGTACCAGGATCACGGTAACGAGCGATGGTACGAGGCAAAAAAATTTACATGCTGGAGTGCTCTAACGAAAGCCACTTGTGGTTTTCCAGCCACGCTTAAATTCCAACACGAATAACTTTTTTCTTGGAAAATTCTCACCAAAATGCTTTTGTACGCTTTTAAACAATATAATGAGGTGTCACTGGAATAATTTTAACAGCTGTCAGATGAGTGGCTTAGAAATGACAGCAGTCTGAATTTGGTTGCAGTTTTTTCATATCACCCTGTATAAGTTCCATATAACACCATCGCCTGATATTTTGTTATTTCGAGACATACTGTTTACGGAATTGTTTTAATTTTGACATTTAGAGATTGCAATGGGTCCACGTTTTCTATGGCCCACATACAAGGGTACCTTGGGATATTAAGTATTTAAAATATTTTTATACCCTCCACCAGGTATATTGACGAGGGTATCTTGACCTTGTCATTCCGGTAGTAACTCTTGAAATACTCATGTCAGATCCAAAAAATTATATATATTCTTGATCAGCGTAAAATTCTAAGTCGATTTAGCGATGTCCGTCTGTCCGTTTGTCTGTCTGTTGTAATCACGCTATCTTTCGAACGAATTGAGATAGAAGGCTAAAATTTTTCACATATTTTTATTTTTCCAGTATGCAGGTTAAGTTCGTAAATAGGTCATGTTGGTCGGCGTTTGATGATTTTGATGATTTTGGCGACATTATTCACCGGAATTGTTTCAAATTCCGCACTTGAAGTTCGTAATGGATACTACAGCCTATGACAGAAAATTCTCTACGCAGGTCCACGTCTTCGTATAGCCCCCATATAACGGTACCTTCCAATATTCGGTATTTTAAAGATTTTAGCGTCATTATACACCGGAATTGTCTCGAGTTAGCTATTTAAGTTCGCAATCAATACTTAATCTTAAGACAGAAAATTGTCTGTGCAGGTCCACGTCTTCGTATAGTCCCCATATAACGGTACCTCCCGATAATCGGCATTTTGATGACTGTAGCTACATTATTCACCGATTTTTTTTCTAAGTTTCGCATTTGAATATTGTAATGGCTTATAAAAAAATTAACTATGCAGGACCATGTAGTCGTATTGACCCTAATATAATAGCTACATTCGGCATTTCTAAGACTTTAACGGATTTTATTGTTTTTGAGAATTGCAAATTCTTCCAAATGGTGGAGGGTATTCAAAGTTCGGCCCGGCCGAACTTACAGCTTTTTTACTTGTTTTTGACTATTCTTATCAGATTTTTCCACGCCTTCATATAACCTTATTGTATTTTGAATTTGACTCTATTCTGAAACTGGTCTAATAAGGGAAAGCTAAGATTTTGCACAGACCTGTCGTTAGTCTTTAGACAGGAAAATTTTGAAATGGTGTATATTAGTCTATTATTTTGAATATCCCCTATGTAACCATTCCCTCAAATATCCAGTATATTGATCATTTGAACCACTCACTTTCTTTCGAGGAAATGTTTTGAAATTTTATAAAAGAAGTTTGTAAGGATTATTTATCCCTCTGGCAGATAATTGTCTATATATGTCCACATTTTCGATTCTTTAATAATATGGGTATATTCCCCAAATTGCAAATTCTTGTAACTATCCAAAACTTAACTTTTCCATGAACAATTTTAGAAACATTAACTTTTCGGAGTGCACTTGGGTCCTAGGGCCCTCTGTCTACGTCACTGTACGCATTTTAATGTGAATAAATCTTTTGTGTCTCGTACCATCGCTCGTTACCGTGATACTGGTACTGGCAGCGTAGCCCGACATCAAGGAAATGGACATGAAATAACAGCAACATCAGCAGAAATGGTTCGAAAAGTAAACAAGGGACTTGATCGGAAACCGCGTCGCAGTGGCCGAAAAATTGCTCGTGAGTTGAACATATCGCAATACTCTATTCGGCATATATTGAAAAATAAGTTCGAGGTAAAGCCATTGTGCAAGAACTTACACCGCAACTAAAATAAAATAGACTCTAAAGAGCTAAAGAATTGCTTCTCTTGGCCGAAAGTGGTGAACTGGCGAATTTGGTTTTCTTCGATGAGAAAACATTCGTTGTCCAGCAGTTTGTAAACAAACAAATTGATCGTGTTTCTTGTCAAAGAGGTCAGCTGAAAATGTGCAGCATCGGTTGGCCACCAGAACTCAAGAGCCGGCCACGGTGATGGTGTGGGCCGCCATAACAGCCGATTGGTTGCTCTCCGCTCGTATTAATCGATCTTGGCAACAGAATAAATGCTGAATATTATTGCGAAAATATTCTTGAGGGTGTATTATAGCGTTAGCACGCAAACATTTTGGCCGCAGACCTTGGACATTCCAACAGGACTCAGCATCATCACACTCAGCACGCGTCACCCGAGAATGGTTACAAAATGAGATTCCTCGCTTCATTTCCAGCGCACAATGGCCACCAAAATCTCCGTATACCAATCCGTTGGACTATTGTGTCTGGAGTATTTTGGAAAGCAAGGTTGGCACGAAAAAAATATCAAAGTGTCGATCACCTCAAGCTAACGCTTCCCCGGGAATGGGCCAAAATACTGTAGAGCAATATTCGGGCAGCGTGTGACGGTTTCATTGGCCGTTTGAGAGCCATAATTCGTGCCAAAGGTGACCAATTTGAACAAATCTAAATTTATTCTAAAATTTGATGCAATTTCCGACATTTTTTGCTTTCATTCAAAAAAATTTAAGAAAAAATAAAAATTAAAAAAAATGTGTAAATTATGGCATTTGACTTTGTTGCAGTTTTTTTTATCTCACCCTATATAGGTAACAATTGATAAGAGATCGACACGGAATTTTACATGAGAAGAGAGTTAAGGACGGGAAAGAAATCTAACTTTTTGAATGATCATTGGATTATATTGAGCTGTAAAATTGACCACAACTTTTGTGTAATTGTTTTGAATACCTCTCCAAATCACGGGACGTAAATATTGGACAAATGTCCCGGTCAAAAACTAAGGTTAATATCTGTGAAGGGCTCTGTGACATTACTTTAAAATCGAAATCTTCCAAAATAGATACGGAGTCTTCCAGCATATTGTAGTGTTGTAGGGTATCACATGGTCGTCCCGGCATGACTATAGCTTTTGCTTACTTCGTTGTAAATAAGTTTAAAATTCAATTTCCTAATAATTAAAGCAATAATTTGGTTGATGAGTTAATTTAGCTTTCTGGGAGAATTGAAACATTACGAGTTCCCAAAACCTTAATTTTCGAATGCAGTACAAACATAATTTTTGCTAAATATACTTTGTTTTATTCTAACTATATTATTAGGCAACTGTTTAGATGACTATTGTTAAATATCCGCCATTAAAAGTATTTACATAAAAAATTAAGTTATTTTCATAAAATTCGTCGCAAAAATTACCGAGTATTTCACCTGACACACATTTCGGCCCTAAAATGTACAGGAAGTGTTATACACCTCCCATTTGCGAACAAAATTAAGTTTTTTTTTTTGCAAAGCAAATTATGTAGTCAGAAAAAGAAATTCGAAACAAATGTTTGGCTAATAAACACATCCGTTCAGCCCAACCACACACACACACATACATACGTGTTAAGGGGGTATATAAAACGCACCTTATCTAAAATGAAATATTTTCCATGTTAATGGGCAGTCAAATCATTTTTAAAGCCCCGTTACTCCCCCCCTACCACAAAGTGGCCTTCAATAAAATCAGATTTTTTACTGTCGCCCACAGTCGACCTTTCGTGTTTCCTCCCCCTTTTTACGTCTTCATCAAAGAAATCAGTCAATTTGCGGCTGGCCACAGATTGGACTCCACCTTTTTGTGGTTTTGAAGTGTTAAGGATTGGGTATAAATTTATTATCGACCAAATTGGCCATTGATGGTTACCACGACAGAGGTTATTTTTTTATTTTCAAAATCACACACACGCACACACGAAAGCACACATACACAGGGAAACAAACGTCACAATTTTTTTATTTGGAGAATGATTGCTGTTTGATTTTGGTAAATAAGGCTGGTGAAGGATATTTATTAATCGTGGGGGAGGTGGAGGATGGAATACGGATGTGTTGGTGTTGTTGTTTTAGAACAAATTATGGCTCGTGTCGTTGAAAGCCTCAGGCCCAATCGAACACACGTTGCAGGGAAAATGTTTATTTTTCTGCGTAGTTCCCAGAAGTAAGGGAAGTCTGATTCTAAAGAAACAGAAAACAATGATGGACTTCTTGACATTCCTCGAAAGGTACATATTTCTTTTGAAGAGAACAAAATTAAATTTTGTAGAGCCGATGTTTTTTTTTTTATCGGAATTAGGAATTTAAAATTGAAAAGTATATTGAAATTAGAAAAAAAGTTTTTCCCTCAGCCTCGTTAAAATAACAGTTTTAAACTCCAGCTACTTTTCGCCCAAATCCTTTTCAGACCATTTATTGCCGATTTTGAGGTAAGGGTTTGTTTTCTTTTTTTTTGTGGACCGAAAATTTTGAGCATGTTCTAAATTGAGGCTCCATGTTCCCCACCTATTATAAATAAGGAAGTCGTTTTAAGTTGAGGAAAGGCGTTTATCTTCAACAGCCTCAAGGAGCCAACTGCCTTACTAATAGATTAACTGACTTACTTTACGATTCATCAATGCCCAGACGAAAGGGCTGAAGCTAGAATCTTGAAATTTTGGGTGAGGGTTACTCTTGGTCCCAGGGGGACATGTAAGGCTGGGTTTTTGAAAATTCGTACTATATCGGTACGAAAAGTATTAAAAGGTATTAAATATGGTACCTTTTGTATTTGAGGAAGCACTAAGAGCTAGAACTATTAAATTTGGAAAGGAGGTCACTGATGGAGTGTATAAAAGATTTACCAAACGATTTTTGGAAATTCGCACTATAAGTGTACGAAACGTACTAAAATGTACTAGATTTGGTACCATTTCGTATCATTTGAACATTAGAGCTAAAAACTTGAATTTTAGAATGAGAATCATGGTTGAGGAGGTGAGTCGATGAAAGGAGGTATTTTGAGAAGTGTGTTCTCATGAATATATAAAGTGCTTAACGGTACTAAATTTAGTACAATTTAAATTTGGAGGAACGGATGGAGCTGGGATCCTAAAATTTGTCGGATTGTAGGATTGGGATATGGAGCAAGTTTTCGAAATTTTTACTCGTACACGAAAAGTACTAAATTTTGTACAATTTCGATTTGGGAGAACAGATAGAAATACGATTACTATTGCATTCTAGAACTGAGGAATGTAGGTAGTTTTGGAAATTTGTACTTAAGTGTACTAAATGGTATTAAATTTTGAACAATTTAGATTTGTGTGAACCAATAGAGCTGATATCCTGAAAATTGGAAAACACATTACTGTCGGAGTGTGGTGGGTTGATTGGGATATATAGGTAATTTGTATACCCTTGTCCTTATGGCTACAGAGGGTATACATCATTTGATACGGCCATATCGTGTCTCATGGGAATAACGATTTTAGGCCTTAGGTCTCTTTAGACCAAATCCGCTTCATGACATTTATAGTCGATCTGGGGTTGTCTGTACATACGTCCGTCCATCTGTCTGGCTGGTACGCACGATAACTCTCGAAGGAGTATCGGATTTGATCTAAACTTGCTACATCGTAATATTATTATCAAATTTAGATCGAGTTCACAGATGGACAATATCGGTCCAATCCCTCTGGTACTTCCCCACAAAAGTCGAAATTTTCAAAAAAATATTTGACTGCACAGAAGGAGAAAAGATAATCAGATGTTGCCCCAAACTTTGCAACTCCTAATATTTGCATCAGTGCTAGGTCATGTGCGAAAATGCACAATATCGGCCCACTTCATCAAGTACCTCCCCCACAAAAGATCAACATTTTGAATAATAACAACTCTCAAAAAATGTGATATAAAAGTTCGATTGTCTTCAAATTTCACACGTCCCAATATTTTTATTAACCCAATGTAAGGTGTTAGGATGGAATACATCGGTCTACACCTTCTGGTATCCCCCCACAAAAGGTCGAAATTTTTAAAATATATATTTTCTGCCCAGAGAAATAAACGATAATCCGATTTTGCTCTATCTTTGCAAATCTATAAAATGCGATGTAAGAGTCCGATTGTCTTCAAATTTCATACATCAAAATTAATCCAAGATCTGGTGTTAAGATGGAATGTATCGGCCCACCCCTTCTTGTACCTCCCCCTCAAAGGGCCAAAATTTTGAATATTCATAAAGTTCACAAAACGCGAAATTAACATCCGATCCCATTTCAGTCTTGGTACATGTGAATATTTTCATCAACACAAAATCTGTTATAAAGATGGTAGAAATCGGACCATTCCTTGTCATACCTCCCCCACAAAGGGTCACAGTTTTAAATATCCAAAACGATCATAAAATCTGAAATGAGTATCCGGTTCTCTTAATATTTCACGCATCCAATTATTTCTACTAACACAAGATCTGCTATGAAGATGGAATATATTGGCCCACTAATTCTGGTACCTCCCCCTCAAAGGTTCAACATTTTGAATATTCATGAAGCTCAAAAACGCGAAATTACGATCCGATTCCATTCAAATTTGGTACATCTCTCTTAGTACTCAAAATTCACATTTTTTATGACAATAATTTTTTATCAAAATTTTATACATCGTACTGAATTTTTGGAATTTCACTGTTTATATTTTTAACCATTTTTTCTGTTTTGGAAAGAATTATACAAAATGGTTTACACCTACAAGTCTTCAAAAACCTTAATTTTGAAGTTTTCCGAGGGGATATTAGTAAAAACATTGCAGAATGGTCCCATATCCCACGTTTCTGTCTAGACCACCATTTACTTTACGCATTTCCTAAACCATCTCCAATCTCAATACGTGATACCAAGATAGATCTCAATATCATGTCTAAGAATTCCTGTTCAATTCCTTCACCCAATACCATTTATTACTTTTCGTAAATATATAAGACGGATTTCCGAAACCACCTCCATATCTCAACACCAGCTACCAACAGAGACATCTATATAAAATTTCGGGATTCTATCCCTTCATCCAAATCCAAATTGTACCAAATTTAGTACACATAAGTAAAAATTTCGAAAACTTCCTATGCTACACTCTAAATTTCCAAAACTACCACCATGTCTCAATCATACCATCCCATAGAAATCTTATTTCCAAATTTCAGCTTCTTCGGTTCATAACAATTGCAAATTGTACCAAATTTAGTACACATAAGTATACATTTCCATAACAACCTGCATCATACAATCCAATAGAAATGTTATTTTCAAATTTCAGGGTTTCTAAATCCAAATTGTACCAAATTAAGTGCATTTTAGTACAAATTTACAAAACTACCTACATATTACAATTCTACACTCCGACAGCAATCTCATATTTGTTTTCAGGATACCAGCTCTATTGGTTTACCCAAATCCAAATTGTAACAAATTTAGTACCACTTAGTGTACAAAAGTACAAGTTTCAAAAACGACTATAGTTGGTCTTTTAATACCATAGTAATCTTATTTCCGAATTTCAGCATGGCAGATCTATTGGTTCACATAAATCGAACCAATCGTACCAAATATAATACATTTTAGTACTTTTCGTGCACATAAGTACAAAACTTCCTCCATATCCCAATCCTACGCTCC